CCGCAAGACTCTACTAAACTTGCTCATGACTCGTGAGATCTAAGTGAACCTAGTGCTCTGATACCACATTGTCACGACCCAAAATACTTGAAAGGTCGTGATGGCACCGGACACTACTGTCAAGAAAGCCAACACCAATAATTAGTAAATTCTCATTTTAATATTTTCTGAAATCGTAAATTTCCTTCAATTAAATAATAAATGATGAACTTCATAGAGTAAATAATAATATTTTTTGCAATTTCAATACTGAATAATCGCATAATCATCTCAGAACCCGGTGTCACAAGAGCATGAGCATTTACTAGGGAACAAAATAAAATACAATAACTGTCCGGAATACAAATTTGGATAAAAAAGAAAATACAAATACTCTGAAGGAGACTCTACTGGTGGCGGATCGTCTCACAAGATGCAGCTCACCTAAGTCCCCGTATCAACCACGCTGCTAAGCTCACAAGGCCACTATCCATACATGTACCTGTACAACAAAATGTACAGCAAGTGTAGTATGAGTACGAAAACAACGCGTACCCAGTAAGTATCCTGTCTAACCTCGAAGAAGTAGTGACGAGAGGTCGACTGCGACACTTACTAGTGGACTAATAATATCAGGTATAGTAAAGAAGTGAATGAATATGAGACAGAGTAAATATATGAAACAAATAAGTATAAAATATATGGTACGATTTCCCTATTTACAATTTACTCAAACTCTCAACTAGCAAACTCCCTCCGTAACCGAAGCATATATATATAGATATAGTGGATTTCATCAAGAGGTTGTCATAATTCAAATCAGGGAAAAACCCTCAGATACACTGGCTTCTTGCCAAATGTTATGCACGATTCCATGAGGATAATATATATATAAGAAATGCCAAGGCGTACGGCCCGATCCAACATAAAAGTAAACTGTGTACTGCCGAGGGTCGAATGACGCGAACCATAGATGCATTTATTAACCTGCCGAGGCGAACGGACCGCTCCCATGAGAGTAGTATAAGGAAATACCCCACTCGTGAATCATACGTGTGACGTGGTCAAATATAAATTTAAGAAATTTTCCCCCGCTCGCGAATCATACTTGCGACGCGGTTACATATAGATTTCTTAAGTTATTATGGTGTTCCTCAATTCTTTTAAAAAATATGAAGTTCTAATGAAAACCTTTAAGTTCCCAACTTTTCCTCAATTTCAACTCCTTTTGAAGCATTTAATAAGCTAACTCAACCTCGGTTTCTTTCAAGACAAACAATAAACATAAATTCAACAACAACAGCAACAAGGCATGATGTAAGCCTAAAACTACCCGGACATAGGCATAGTTAGTAGCTACGTACGGACTCACGTCACCTCGTGCGTACGTAGCCCTACACAAATAGAAGCACATAATAATTTAGTTCACCTATTGGGTTAATTCCCTCTTACGAGGTTAGAGAGGAGACTTACCTCGCTCCGAAGTTCCTTAATCGGCTCCCAAGCCCTTCCGACGACTCAAACCGATGCCCAACGCTCCAAAACTAGTCAATAATTATGCAAACCCATTAATACATACTCAAATACTCATTATAATCCTATTTACAATAATTTCCAACTCCGCTTGAAAAGTCGATAAAATCACCCTCAGGCCCACGTGCCCGGATTCCAAAAATTTTCGAAGATAAACTTGCTCATGACATCACGGACTCAAACAAATAATTTATTCTAAATTCCATGTCCAAAACTCGTGGTCAAAATCCAAATATACAAGATTCTAGGTTTTTCTTCAAAATTCCAAATTTCTACAAATTTTCATACCCAAAATCCATGTATAAACTTTGTATGTAACTCACAACTAGTAGAAATCACTTACCTCATGCCTGATGATGAAATCCCCTCCTTAAAGGCTCTAAAAATCGCCCAAGCCGTGTGAAAAATAGGTGAAATAAAATCAAACCCCGCTTTTAAAACATTCTGCCCAGCCCAGGTCCGCCCTTCTTCGCGATCGCGGGAGTGCCTTCGCGATCACGAAGGCTAAGCACATTGCCTCCGCATTTTCTTGTATGTGACCGCACACAAGATTACGCGAATGCGACGTTCTGTAACCCAACACTTTGCGGTCGCATTCCTCCTCACGCGATCGCGATGAACAAACGCGTAGCATTAGGCCATCCCTCACTCCTTCTTCGCGAACGAATTACCACAACCGCGTTCGCGTAGCTTAACTACCCACCGCATCGCGATCACAGGTCCATCATCGCAAACGCATAGTCATAGTCTCCCCAAAACAACTCTGCGCGATCGCGGACTTCCACTTGCGATCGCGTATAAGGAAACCAGCAACAGTCATGACAGCAACTTCAGCAGATCCCTCAAGTCGTATTTCAATCCGTTAACCATCCAAATTCCACTCGAGGTCCTCGGGACCTCCACCAATCATATCAACACATCCCAAAACACATTACAAACTTAGTCGAACCTTCGAATCATATCAAACAACGCTAAAACCATGAATCGCACCAATTCAAGCTTAATGAACTTTAGAACTTCAAACTTCTATATTCGATGTCGAAAACTATCAAATCAAGTCGGATTGCCATCAGATTTTGCACACACGTCATACTTGACATTACGGACCTACTCCAGCTTTCGGAATTAGATTCCGACCCTAATATCAAAAAGTTTACGTCCAGTCCAACTTCTCAAAAACCTTCAAATTTCTAACTTTCGGCAAACGACTCCAAAATGACCTGAGGATCTCCAAATCCACTTCCGGACGCGCTCCCAATACCGGAATCACCATACAGAGATATTCTCGGACTCGGAATTCCAAACAGACATCGATAATATTGAAATGCACTTCAATCCAAATTTATGGAATTCTACCAAATTGCTAACTTCCACAATAGGTGCCACAACACTCTCGGGCATCCAAAACCCGATCCGAACATACGCTCAAGTACGAAATCATAATACGAACCTGCTGGAACCTTCAAATCCCGATTTTGAGGCCGTCTACTCTAAAATCCAATCTTTGTCAATTCTTCCAACTTAAAGCTTTCGAAATGAGAATTTTCTTTCCAATTCAACTCCAAACTTCCCGATATTCAATCCCGACCACGCGTACAAGTCATAATACCTGAAGTGAAGCTGATCATGGCCTCAAACCACCGAACGACACGCTAGAGCTCAAAATGACCGATCGCGTCGTTACACGTGCATCCGTATTACCCGGAGGCCTAGTGGTAAGTTGCTTCTCATACTCCGTTCTACAGCATCTGGAGCCTTCTCTTGTTATGTTTATCATTTATGTCTATTCTGTTTCAGACAATAGTTTTAGGGAGTTTTGTATATTCTACTAGATGCTCATGCACTTGTGACACCGGGGTTTAGGTAATTCTAGTAGATACTCGTGGTTTTTTATTATTAAATTCACTACTTTACTCTCATGTTTAGTTTATGCTTTACATTACTACGATCACCTATTATTTGTTTTATTATTAAATAAAATTGATGACTTTGAAAATATTAAAAGGAATAATTAAATGGATAGTTCACTGTTGGCTTGCCTAGCGGCAGCATTGGGCACCATCATGGCATATAGTGAAAATTGGATCGTAACACCATATTTATTATATCTATGAATGTTTCCGGAGCATTGACCGATCCAAAAGGCATCCCAAGTAACTCATAAGGTATGTACTAAGTTTTAGAAGCTAACATCAAAATATATTCCTTTCTTATTCTAAGCTAATGATAATCAAACTAAAGATTAATATTTTAAAAGTGGGAGGCTCCTTTTAACTGATCAATCAAGTTATTTATACGAGACAATGTGTACTAATTGTGAATCATTACCTTATTCAATTGTATCTAGTCTGGTGAGAAAACTGGTGTCGTATATTGGTAGATTTATTGTCTAACTCAATTCTTAAACTACCTAGCAAATTCACACTTTCGACTGTCAGGAAGGAAGTGACTCATAAATAATTTAGTGAACTCGTTCCCAAGTTAGTTACATTCACCTATCAGTATTCTTAATAGTACATATCATGTCATTTACTTACTAGCCAGATTCTCCTATTTGTAAGGTTCTAGGTTCACGGACCTGCCACCGAAATATCCTAGAGTTCATAATGCCTTTAGTATTTCATGAAGAGCATATGAGTTCTCCAAACTAACAAATTTGAAAATCTATTAAGGATACTCATATATTCTCCATATTCTTCTAGGTATATGAGGCCTCTAGAGCCCTAGTCTATTGCTCATTCTTGTCATGTCTATCTATTACATCCATCACACTCGCAATTTTTCCTCTGCATAAAGGTAAGTACCTCAATGATAACAATATCCTAGTTATGGTAGTGGACTAGTACTTATTTTAGGAGTGGATTATATTACACATCTTGTGGCAATATGACACTCTATTGTGGTGGCACAGACCTTCCTTAGCCATGTCTGCTGGCTTTTTCTCTTCTCCTTAGCTAGGAGAGACGACTATTAAAGACAACATTTCATGTCCCTGAACCTCTAGACTTTATTGATATCAGATAACCAAGCTTGAGCCATATGGTAACATGATAAACAGTGTTAGATTCATCTATTTGATCCTAGTCGTCACACACATAAGGGGGGACAAGAAAAAAAAGGCCAGACACATCCTATCACGCTCTCGCAGAATCATGATTATGGGAATGGACGACTACACAATCATAATTGAGATTCTACTACTAACGTTTTCTCCATTAGTCACAGGAATAACCTAGGGCTCTGATACCAACTTTGACACGACACAATTTAGGGTCATGACCGGCTCTAAGGGGTAGGATCCCAAAGCAAGCCTTAACGGGAATTTACAGAAAATAAGACAGAGTTTCCTCTGTTTTTAAGAAAATCCAAAATTTTTCCTCTCTCAAAATCAACAATAGAGATAGCTAATATCAACCCAACAAAACGCAATCATCTTCAATCACCATTTTTAACATAATAATACTTAAACCATCTATAAAGTACGGGAAGAACATCTAATACTAGTCATAAGTCTTTAATGATATGAGAATACTCATGACACTAATAAAAATGAATAACGGAGCGACTCTAAGAGTTTTTAAAAGAAAAGTACAATAGAAAACAAATAACTTCTTACGCACGTGAAGCAATGCGGGGCTCATCGGAATTTGTCAGTTCGTGCGCTTTAGTTACCAACATCACATGCGGTTTCTGTAAAAGAAATAGCGAGGAGCGAGACGCTAGCTCAATGAGTAATAATACTTAGCAACAACCGTTTTTAGTGGGTACAAGTGAGAAAACATGCTTGTATAGTAATCAGAAAATATCACGAAATAAATGCCCTTTTTCCGAATCGGTAACAATAATCAGTCTTGTCTGTTTTCATGTAAGTAGGAATCGATTAACAATTTAATAATGAACTCTATAAATATTGTCATATCAAATATTATGTTTGGGAGATTTCCAAGAAATGATCATGTAATCTGTATCAGTGTGTGGACCCCTTCGTAAACGGAGTCAAATATAATTGTAGGTCCCTACTCGAGGGAAAACTATAACTACATGCTAGTTCTTCCTTCCCACTAGCGAGGGCTATAACTATAATCTGTCTATACAAGGTGCACCAGGTCTAACGAGCTCACCGTTAGCGACGGAATCCTTTAGAGTCTCCTCCTATTTATACATTTCCTTGTAACCCATAAATATTCATAAGAAGCTTTTCAAAATAGTACATGGCATTTCAATTCTTATCAAATCATGTAATTTAATTTCGATAACATTAAATCTTATCTCAAGTAATCGTAAAACATGTTTAGTAACCATGAGAATATTCAAATTAACTGTAATCATCTCAAATAAATATAGCGGTATTATATTAAGGAAAAGACTTGTCCCGCATGCAAATTCAAAACAGTCGGTAACATGTTCATATTAAAATCATATGTAAATCATGCAAGTTATGAAAACACAAATTGTGGTAAGGTTACTACTTACAGTACTCTTGTCGAAATACCAAGCAAGTCACCTCGAGCAGTCCATACGGCTTCTTCGATGAATCTATAGTATCACAAAGACGAGTTTAAATAACTTCGTGAAGTACCAACATAATCGGGTTCTACTCTATCAAATTTCTCTTGGTTCCATTCGCAATAACCTTAGTTAGGCCGCCCATGACCTTATCAAACACTTTTCTGTAATTCTTTTCCCAGTTCATGGAATGTTCGTCAATTAATTAATTTTATCATAATAAATTAATTTATATCTAATAATACCCATTAAAATTAAACACTAACGTTAATCCTAGTATCACATTTAACTCAAGTCAATGATCATATATATAATATTACTATTTAAGTAAAACTAAGAATACACTGTTACCTCTTTCTTTTATTCGTTGCGTGAATTTTTTATGTGTACATCTACACTGAATCGAGGTTGAATTCCTCTTCCTGTTCCCTTGTAAAACTTGTTGCCAGAAGGACCCTATTCCCTTTTAATTTCCTTGCAATGCTTTCTGAATATGATGGCAAATATTTCTTTTACAGAGGTTTTTTTTTTGTTTTGGCTTCTTCTTAGTTTTCCTTCTTTCAGATTCCTCATATTTGGAAATAATGTTCTCCACTATCCTAGTCCATGCCTCTCTTTTTTTTCTAGCTGATGGGAAACGGCCCATTCATTGCTCTTTATTATTTTTTCAAAATTAGTTTTACTAAATGACCATTATGTCCTCAGTTAAATTATGGGGTTATTACACTATATGTCAATAAAAGTACATATAAAAAGCTAAGCATTAGAGGCTCCTTGCACTTCAACATCGAAGATCACAGCCCCTGGTGAAGCCTCAACAAGTTCAAAGAGAAGAACACCCCTCTTTCAGATTATTATTGACAACAAATTGTTTCCACCCCTTAACGAGTCTTCTTCGAATACCACTTGTTAGAGTCAGAGTCCACTCCTTCCTATTTTATTGAAGAATTATTTTAACCAAAATAGGAAGATGATACTCATAGATGCTTTTTGGAAGAAATTGCACAAACATAATGGAAAGCTAGGGTAAGATACCATATCATGAAAACTAAAAAAAAATAATTGTGAAAAGCTAGGGTAAGATACCAGATCATCACGTTTAATGGACGTGCCCCCTGAACTATGGATAGAAATCCTCTTCAATCCATCTGCATGCCATGTTTAGGGTATTTTTTTGTTTGGAGAATTGCTAATGTGGTTTAGGTTATGTTTAGGAGATATATAAAGAGTCCAAAATTTTGTTTTCCTCCAATTGTATTTGTTTATTTTCCCTTTGTTTCCCTCAAATAATTTTATTTGACATTTTAGTCCAAGCATTTAATCATTTTTTCTCTCTAAATAAAATAAGCTAGAATACATTTTAGTCCTAAAATTTAATCATGATTTCCCTTTTATCATAGGTAGAATATAAAATATACTATACTGAGATTCTACAAAAATTACAAAATATTGGCCAAGAATTTTATTTTACATTTTAGTTCAAATATTTTAGTCATATTGATTCTAAACATATTGCAAAATATATTCTAAGAAAAGCTAGAATGTAAAATCGTTGCAAAATAGTGACCATTATATACAAAAAATATTGATTGTTTTATTGATTCTAAAAATATTGTAAAATGCATTCTAAAAAATATTTATGTTACATCAAGCAATTGAATATAAATAATCACAAATGATGGTCATATATATTGGATACTACATATATATGAACTTACGCTAGTGGCATATGGTCATGAAACTACTACCTTAGTACATGGACTTAAATGGTTGCTATTATATAACGGTCAATATTACAACCAAACCAATGAATAACAATGAAATGAAGCATTTCTAACAATTAGTATCATATGACTACAAAACTATGAATCAAGGCTATCAATTGCCTCTTAGTATAGCTTTTATGGTTTGAATTAAGTAAATTTGACAATTTAGGTCAATAAATTGAATTATATATTGATTATTATACAAATAGTCAATACCCTTAAATCACGACGATGTTATTAACATAGGGCATTGTCACGATCCCAAATTCTCTCAGTAGGATGTCGTGATGGCACCTAGTCTCTAAGATTAGGTAAGCCTATCAATGCAGAATAACTGAATATAAACTGAAATTAAATCCTTAATAGTCGAATAAATAATAAATGCAAATTTAACAATTACAACTCCCAAAACCTGGTAGGAATAAGTCACAAGCTTCTAAGAATTTATTCTCAATGTCTCTATACATCAGAGTCTAAAGAAAATAAGGAACACAATATAATAAGATAGAAGGAGGCTCCGGAGTCTGCGGACGCTTACAGATATACCTCGAAGTCTTCTCGTACGGATAATTCACTGATGCCTGGTCTGATAAGATGTAACTGGATCTGCACAAAAAGATGTGCAGAAGCATAGTATGAGTACACCACAGCGGTACACAGTAAGTGTCTAGCCAAACCTCAGTAGAGTAGTGACGAGGTCAGGTCAAGCCCTACTGAAATAATAAAAGACAGGGAGAAAAGTTTAACAATATAATAATAATAATGATAATGGGGATAAATCAAGTAAGTAGTATGTCACAATTTAACTATATGGGATAAGAGCAATTAACACCTCGCGGAAGGAAAATAGAAATTTACAACTTTAAAGAAAACTACAAAAATAACCAAAGGCAATGCAGCCATAAAGAAATATGAACAAGGGCACTCCCGAGGTACCATCTCGTAGTCCCAAATCATAAATAAATTCATAATATCTCATATCCTTAAATCACCGATAGAGCCTTCACATTAAATATTAAAGAAAATATTTTTCCCGAAATAGCATCCTGCGTTTTAGCCACCCTTATCACACCGCATGACTTCTAGTAGTTACCCTACTAGCCACGCGTATCAAGCCACCCTTATCTCACCGTATGCGTTTCAACACTCAGACCTTATACCACCACATGCGTATCAATATAATATATCACAATTTGCACCTCAAGTGCCCAAATATTTCAACTTTTCAAAATAAATCAACAACAAGAATATTTTCCACAATAAGGAGCTCACGGCTCAATCACAATGAGTAAACATTCTCGCAAAATATTCACCAGAATAATATCCATCAATTATACAATACGGAGCTCACAACTCAATCACAATAAATAAAAAAATCTTCACAAAATATTCAGCAAAAATAATATTTCACAAATTTAATATCTTAACTTAAGATCAAATTTTTAAATGTAAAATACTTCATTTTTAATTATATTTAAATTAAGAAATCCAATCTTCAAATAATGCACGGAACAAAAGAAACAGATTTTCAACTAAACAGGTAAAACACTTAACAGGAATAGGTCATGCAAATTTAAAATACGAAAATATTTTAATGATGATGAATATAACAGAATAAAATAATTTAATTAATATGCAACAGTGCTCTACACAACTTAAAGACATAATCTTCCACATTTACCCAGTGTACACACTCGTCACCTCGTGTACACGACTTTCAACACCTCAACATTTTCATATCAATACCAATTCTAAGGGGAATTTCTCTCACGCAAGGTTAGACAAGTCACTTACCTCAAACCACGCTCAATCAATCAAGTAGTATTCCTTTTCCTCAATTTTTCGACTCCGGTCGGTTCAAATCAAGTCATAATTAATTCGATTCAATCAATAAAAATTATAAGAATAAATTTCATATGAAAATATAAATTTTCTAACAAAATCCGATAACTCATTCAATTACGAGTCCAACCATACTAGTTTCACTCAAATCCGACTCTGAATCGACATCGAAATCTCAAAATTTTATTTTATGAGATTTCTACAATTTTTCCAAAATTTTCATCTCAAAACACTAATTAAATGATGAAAATAATGATATATTCGTGTATATTGACCAAATCCGAGTTAGAATCACTTACCCCCAATGTTTTTCCTTGAAAATCTCTCAAAAATCGCCTCTCCCAAAGCTCCAATTCGTCAAAAATGGAAAATGGGACGAAGCCCCAGTTTTATAACTTAAAGTTTCTGTCCAGGCGCTGCCCTCAATTTCCTGGCCTCGATTTTCTAACCTCGATTTCCAACAGAAAAATTCCAGCAGTTGTTTAAGTCCAAATTTTGATCCGTTAACCATCCGAAACTCACCCGAGGCTCTCGAGACCTCAACCAAATACACCAACAAGTCCTAAAATATCATACGAACATAGTTGAAACCTCAAATCACATAAAATAACGCTAAAACCACGAATCATACCCCAATTCGAGCTTAAGGAACTTAAGAATTTCCAACTTCTATATTTGATGCCGAAACCTATCAAATCAAGTCCGATTGACCTAAAATTTTGCACACAAGTCATAAATGACATAACTAAGCTATGAAAATTTTCAGAACTGGATTTTAACCCTGATATCAAAAAGTCAACTCCCTGGTCAAACTTCCCAAAAATTCAACTTTCGCCATTTCAAGTCAAATTCTACTGCGGACATCTAAATAATTTTTCGGACACGCTCCTAAGTTCAAAATCACCATACAGAGCTATTGGAATTATCAAAACTCCATTCTGGGGTCGTTTACACATAAGTCGATATTCGGTCACTATTTCAACTTAAACCTTGGAACTAAGTGTTTCAATTTATTCCTAAAACCTCATCGGACCCAAACTAATCATCCCGGCAAGTCACATAATAATTGTAAAGTATAAATTGAGTAGTAAATGGGGGAATGAGACTATAACTCTCAAAATGACTGGTCAGGTCGTTATAGGCATATGACTACAATCTTATTGCATGACATTCTTCGGTTACTATTAACTAGTGGTCGATACATATGGCCTTGATGAATGGAATTATATATTGGCCATTATATAAACGGTCAGTACCCTTAAATCATGACGGTGTAATTAACATAGGGCATATAACAATAACCTTATTGCATGACATTCTTCGGTTGCTATTAACTAGTGGTCGATACACATGACCTTAATGAATGGAATATGTCTATTATATAAACGATCAATACCCTTAAATTATAACGATTTAATTAATATAGGGCACATGACTACAACCTTATTGCATAACATTCTTCGGTTGCTATTAACTAGGGGTCGATACATATGACCTTAATGAATGGAATTATATATTGGTTATTATATAAACGGTCAATACCCTTACATCATAACGATGTAATTAACAAATGGCATATGACTACAACCTTATTGCACGACATTTTTCAGTCGCTATTAACTAGGTTTACTACATATGAACTTACGCTAGTGGCATAAGGTCATCAAACTACTACCATAATGAATTGAATTATATGTTTTTTTATATGTAACAACAGTCAATACTAAAGATGTAACATGGGGCATATGACTACATAACTATGAATCAAGTTCAACAATTGAATTAAGTATAGTTGTTATGGTTTGAATTAAGTAATTTAACAATTAAGGTCAAAACTAACATTACAAGGGGACTAAACATGCAAAATACAAAACTTAATTCATTAATATTTCATAATTAATAACATAAAAGCTATCAAAATTGCTAATTAGGTTCTAAATCTAACAATTGAGGTCAAAATTAATATTACAATGGGACTAAATATGCAAAATACACAACTTAATTCATTAATATTTCATAATTAATAGAATAAAAGCTGTCAAAATTGCTAATTAGGATTCAAATTTAGCATTCAAAAACGATGGAAGTAACATTCAAAAATGATGGAATTAGCATTCAATCGATGCGACTCAAAGCTTTGAAAATTGAACGATAAAAAACTTTAAGAGGAAAAAATAGCATTCAAATTTTTAGTGGAGTGTATTTGAAATATTATTTTTAGGGTTGGCCGTGTATATGTATAGTCTCACACACAAACCCTAAAGACCTAAAACACACTCACTTACACAAACCCTAGAAACTTAACTATGAATGCCTCCCCCTTTGCCAAACGATCCATGTCTTACTCTTCTATTGATGATAATGAAGAAGAGAATAATCCAACATTTGAAGTGCTTATAACTGATTCACATCAACCATGATGATCTGGTAAATTATTATATCCTTAAAACTTATTTCTTTGAATTTTACACTAATTTCTTCTCGACTTAAATCCTAACAGGTACTTTTTTGGGAGAGGAAAACAATCCAATGATTTGGTCTATTTCTTTTACTACTATAAATG